CCAAGCACTTGTGCCTCTACACCCACATGAGTGACCCAGACTAGGCTTCTGGTTCCTGGCTTTGGATCAGCTCTGATTGTTGCAGCCATCTGGGGAGTGAACCAATGAATGAAAGATCTCTTCCTTTATGTCTCTCTCCACCTCTGCCTCTGCCTGTCTGTAACTCTACCTTTCAAATAAATAAATAGGGGCCAACACTGCGGCACATTGGGTTAAAGCCCTGGCCTGAAGCTCTGGCATCCCATATGGGCGCCAGTTCTAGTCCCAACAGCTCCTCTTCCAAACCAGCTCTCTGCTATGGCCTGGAATAGCAGTAGAAGATGGCCCAAGTCCTTGGGCCCATGAACCCACGTGGAAGACCTGGAAGAAGCTCCTGGCTCCTGGCTTCGGATCAGCTCAGCTCCGGCCTTTGCGGCCATCTGGGGAGTGAACCAGCAGATGGAAGACCTCTCTCTCTCTGCATCTCTCTGTAACTCTTTCAAGTAAATAAAATAAATATTTAAAAATAAATAAATAAATCTTAAAAAAGAGACCACAGACAAAACGGGAGAAAATATTTCCAAATTATGCATCTGATAAAGGATTAATATCCAGAATATATAAGGAGATCAAGAAACTCAACAGCAAAACAAACACTCCAGTTAAGAGATGTGCTAAGGATATAAACAAGCCTTTTTCAAAGGATGAAATACAAGTGGGCAACAGACACATGAAAAGATGTTCAGAATGACTAGCCATCAAAATCACATTGAGGTTTCAACTCACCTCAGAGTGGCTATCATCCAGAAATAAAAAAATAACAAATGATGGTGAAGATGTGGGGGAAAAGTACCCTAATACACTGTAGTGGGAATGTAAACTAGTACATTAGAGAGGACAGTATGGAAATTCCTCAGAAATCTGAAAATGGAGCTACCATATGACTCAGCCATCCCACTCCTGGGAATTTACCAAAAGAAATAAAAACATCATATGAAAAAATTATCTGTATCTCCATGCTTATGGCAGCTCATCTCACATGGCTAGGATATGGAATCAATCTAGATGTTCATGAACTGATGATTGGATAAAGAAATCATGGTATATATACATGATAGAATGAGAATGGTACTCAGCCATAAAAAAGAATGAAATCCAGCCTTTCACGACAAAATGGATGCAACTGGAGAACATTGTGCTTCGTGGAATAAACCTGTCCCAAAAGACAAATATCATACTTTTTCCCTGATTTGTGGTAGCTAATATACAGAATCCATGTAATACATATGAGTGAAATTTACACTTTGAGAGTTAATTACTATTTATAGCCCTTGCCTATACTCTTGAGGAGCAATGGTTTTTCTACTTTCTATTTGTCAAATTCCTCATTTAGTAGATACTTAAGCTTATGGTTATAAAGTGAATTCAAAGTAAGTCATTGTAAAAATTAAAGGAAAAATTAGAAAAGAAGGAGGAGGGAGGGTAGGGGGAGAAATATCATCATGATCTTAAAACTTATATGAAATACATGAAATTTATTCCATTTATATAAATCAAAAGATCTGATAATATAAAAAGAAATGCATTGAGAAAAAGCAGAGCCATAGCAGCTGAAGGAACTGCCAAAGTGCAGCTCACAAAAGCCAAAACAACTGGGCAAGATGTTGGCTTCCTATATTATTTTGTTTGTCTCCTATATCATATGAAGTTGAACACTGTTTCATATATATATATAGGTTAACTTGATGGTCTTGTCTATGAATTTCCTATTTGTAACATATATTTGTTCATATACCTTCATATTATTTGTATTGATTAATAAGTATATGTATATATTCTACATGTGAATATTGTATGAATTGCAGCTATTTTTCCCAATATGCTTTATGTCTGTGGTATGTTTTGTTCTACAAAGTCTTAATTTTGATGTAATCAGTTTTACAACTCATTTGCCATATGACTTCTTCTTTGTGCCTTGAAGAAATTCATTTCCACCTAGAATTAATTACATTTGTTCATGTTTTCTAAATGGTTTAAAGTTACTTTTAATATTAAAATCCTTAAACCACCTGTAGTTGATATTTTATATATGGAATGTCAGATTCTAACTTCACTTTTGTTGTATGGACATCTAATTGTCCCATTACCATTTATTGAATAGTTGATCTTTTATTCTCTGATGAATAATGCCTAATGAATCAGTTGTATACTTTATTTTTCTATTAAAATCATCATATGACTCATCCTGTTTTTATTTGTTGGAACTGAGTAACATTTATATAGTATTTATTAATATTAAGCAACTTTTGCTTTTCTATATGAATGCTTCTTAGTCATGATATATGAAAATATGTTTATTTTGTGTTAATTCTGGATTCAGTTGCATATTATTTAGTTAAAATTTTGTATCTAAATTCAAAAGTAGGAGAGGTCTATCATTTCCCTTCTTGGTGCTATTTCACTATGATTTTGGCCTAGAAAAATTATTCCAGTATCCTAAATAGTTAACAAAGAGTTTAAAGGAATAAAAAAGAGCAGATACATTGAGGTACTTCAGAAGGAAATACTTAAAAAGAATATCTCTTCCCATCACCTTCTTCATGTATATAAGTATTTATATCATTAAGTATTTCTCAACCTCCACTCAAGTCATGGCTCACGGCAAATAAAACAAAGAGAAGTTAGTACTGATAGACAGTAAAGAGCTATATTTCCTACACATTATTGATGTAATTAAATTACATTCTTTTAATAATTTACAATGTAAGATTTTTCAATTATAGTAATTAATTTATGACATTACAGTTTCTATTTCCATGTGCAAACACAAACATGTTTTAAACAAATTTATTTTATGATTTTCAATGGAAATACTCAAAATGTGTTATCTGCATAACAAAATTTAATTATTTATGCTTCGTTCTTTGAACATAATCCAGTATGCATATTTCTTAGATGACTAAATTAAGTCATATAGGACAGGAATTTGACAAAACTATTTCAAATGATTTCAAAATACTTTAATCAGTATACACGTTGCTTTTTCATATATAGAGAAACAAATGGATGTTATTCCTTTATTACTGGAGAAAATTCTTAATTTATAAGGCTAATAAAAAGTTGATAAAAGAAATGTGTTGAGAGAAGAAATTGCATTTACTTCCAATATGTGTACCACCGAGTGATTCCCCAACCTCCACCAGTAGCAATAGTGTTTCTTAGCTACAAAAACTACAACCAGAGAAGTAAGGAATGCAAACAGGAGCACCTTATAGAGCACAAGGTGTAGGTCTAGAGGCATACAATATGGAGGAATTAATCAATAATTCGATATCAGTCCTGACTCATCATGATTATATGGCTTCAGTGAGTCACTTAACCTAAGTATTGCCCTGCAAAGTATCTTAGGAGACAGGGAGCAAGCCAGTTCTGGATCACTTCTTCTTTGTTGATGTCATCCTATTAAAGTTTATGACAACACAGAATTAGGTAAAGTAGAACTTGCAATATCCCTTCAAACTTCATCTACTCCATAATGTGATACACAAGAAGGATACACCTAAATGATAACAGAATATGCTCTTAGGTTATTATCAAAGACTATTTTTTTGGAAGATTTCATGGTGTCACACAGAGTTCCATTTGCTTGAAAGATCAAAGACAAGTAGAGGAAAAAAAAAACCACTGGGCCAGTGTTATCTAAAGTGTGGTATTTCATCACAGGAAAGAGTGAACCAATTAACTGATTATTCTCTATGTTTTCAACATTGAGAACCTAGAAAATGTCACAAATCTGAAATAAATCTAACTCTTTATTATTACTTATAAAACACTGTACTGGGAAGTTGACTTGACTATTGTGGTAACTAACAAGGTACTCACAAAAGCAGCATATTGCATTTATTCTGCATTGATTATTAGACATTTCCATTGATCTTGCACTATTAATATATTCAAATAGTTTTAGATCATCAATTCAAATTAATGGGTTTAAGTTAGAAAAAAAGGGGAATTATGGGTAAACCATAAGAAAATAAGGACAGTAAAACTTTTATATGCTATTCGCTTGCCACTTGAAGTTTTTGAACAGAACCTGAGGGAATAGTAAAATTAGATCTTCCGAAGTGTATTTTGTTGCAAAATGATCAGCAATATAATTTGTGATGAAATATATTGATGCATTTCATATACTCAAAGTATAAACAAGTCAATCTCTATCATGTGACCAAGTTCATTTAGTACAATTTTTTGGGCTGACTGGGATATTTAAGCCCATGAGAATGGCCATTTCACCAAAGATACAGTACAACACTCAGTTGTAGAATAAACATTCACTCACCACCAAGACAACACAAAGTATAATGTGGGTTTAGATAGAAGTGACACTTACATTACAATTTTAACTATAAAGCCTATACACTTAACCAGAAAACTAAAAATCGAATGTCATGTGTAATTACCAGTGAACATTATAGAAAAAAAGGTATTGTAGACATTCAGGAATATGCCATATCACAAAGAATTATTATTCTAAAGAAAGATTTTTCTGATGATGAATGAACAAAATGTGAATAGGCTCCCGATGATGTATCACAGTCTAAGAAAAAAGGTAGAAAAGGATGACAGTAATGAAAAAATGTGAATTGAAATGAATAGCATACATATTTTTCAGAAAAAGACTAGGTTGATGTATCTATCCAGGAGAGATCAAGAAATAAGGATAAATGAGAAAATGAGATATGGAGAATACCACTATCTTAACATCCTCTACTGTGCATAGCTAAAGGCCCTTTTGATGGACAGCTGGAAGTCAGCCACAAGCATTGTCAGTGGTCTCCAGCCCCATAACGAAAATCAAGGAAGGGAAGAAATCCAGAACTACTTAAACCAAAGCTTCGACCACAAATGTGCAAATGTCCTTTATTCTTCTAGTGCTTTAATGTGAATGCAGTGCAATGAATAGTGTCCAGACAGATATGATGCTTAGGCTGATCCCATCTGTGTACAAATATTATACTCACCTCCATGGTAGGAATAATCACTCAATCTGGAGTTTCATTCTTTTTGTAGGTGTCAGCAAACAATGCTGGTCAATTAACAAAGAAAGAGAGAATGATGTAAGAAGGAAACACCAGTAACCAAACAGCACGTCTAGATAATTTGTGCATGAGTTAAGGTTAAGCATACAAAGTGACTTCATATACAAAGCAAGAAAATATAAATGAAAAATTGTGTATTTGAAATGAATAGTATGACAGAATTTCAACACGAACATGATAAATAACCATGATATTTTTACTCATTGAGCTGTCATTTGTGGGTCCTTGAAGATTCAAGCATACATGTATGGAATAGAGTGACGGGTGCAGGTGTCTCCCTAAAGAATCTGCACCCAGAGGCCAGTGCTGTGGCTTAGGGGTTAAAGTCGCCTCCTGTGATGCCAGCATCCCATATGGGCACCTCACTGGCTTTACCACTTCTCATCCAGCTCCCTGCTAATGTGCCTGGGAAAGCAGCAAAAGATGGCTCAAGTTCTTGGGCCTGCACCCATGTGTGAGACCCAGTTGAAGCTCCTGTCTTCTGGCTTCCATCTGACCATTTGGGAAATGAATAAGCACATGGAAGATCAATTCATTCTCATTCTCTGTCTCTGTCTCTGTCTCTCTCTCTGTCTCTCTCTCTCTCTGTCTCTCTCCTCCTTCTCCCTCTTTCTCTCTCTTTCTCTATCTCTCTCTCTTCCCCTCCCTGTCTCTCCCTTTCTATATATATATAACTCTGCTTTTAAAATACATAAAATAAATCTTTAAAGAAAATCTGCACTCGAATTTGGACACTGAGGCAGATAAGGAACGGTGGAAACAGATGGCTACCAGTGCTTATGAGGTAATCAAACTGAAAGGCTGGGATCCTGGACTCTGTGGTAGATTTGGCGAAAGGAAAATAAGTAATCCTCAGTGAACTCATCTGATTTCCATGATGATTAGTAGTCTCTCTGGAATAAAGGCTGATTTTTTCATTAGTGTGCTTTGCACCTTGAGATGGAAAAGAATCTCAGATATTGTGAAGGTGACACTGACTGCTGAGGAAGAAGCCCATGTATGGAGTGCAGATGCACATTGCAGCAGCCAAATCAGCTAAAATTTTAAAGTTTCCTGATATTGTATCACTTCGTTGTCCAGGCTATTACAGAACTTTAGTTGAATGGTGTGTTTTGTGCTTTTTATATGAACTGTGACTAAAACATTAATATTATGATGGCCTGGAAAGAGCATCCATTTCCTAAAGTTAGAAATAAGAATAGTTTGTAAATTCCTATAGCTATACCCTGATGCTGGATGGTACTTACGTTATCTTAAATTGTTTTAGCATGAAATAACTCCACCACCTCTAATGTACCACTGCCAATGTTGGACAGCTCAGTTGCCCTTTGAATCAAATATGTGTTATATAATTTCTGATTCCTTCACCAAGCATGCACAGTCCAACTTTTTTGCCTAATCAGTTCCAATTATAAATCCAATATTGCGTATCTATAATTTTGAGTATTCTATATATCAGTAGCCATATAACAAAAAATATACATGTAAACCACATAATCAACTATCCAGTTGTCATCAGAAATAAATCACCATATAAACCTTGAATGGTGAAAAAATACAGCTCTCATTTTCTTGAGCATATGAATTATTGCTTTTTTAGAATCCTTGTATAATAATTTCAGTATCTGAATTATTTGAATGTATTTCCACAAATTGTCTGTCTTTTTTCCTCTTGGTTTTTTGATTGAATGCTGAACAATTTTGTGTATGAAAAATGTTGAGGCTGTGGTGCTATCTTCAGCCAAAGAAAGTTAATTCTTTTCTTCAACAGGCAGATAGAATGGAGGTTGATCACCTTCTTCCAACCAGGGACTGAGCTCTTGTGAGGCTGTGTTGCAGTTTGGTAGTCAGTCAACCTCTGCTCTGTTAGATTCTCAGGACATACTCCTTCGTTGGTTGAGACAAGTATGTCTCAGGACATACTCCTTCTTAGGCTGAGATGCCAGCAGTGTCCACAAGACTTCCCCAGTGAATGCTGATCCTTGAGTGTTAACCACTGTGACACTGCAAAAATCTCTTCCCTAAGTTTTATTCTCTCAGAACAATGTTACACCCAGCCCTTAGCTCTCTCTTATTATAGGGATTTCTGGCTCCTTAACTTTCAAATTTTGTCTTTCTAGCCTCTAGGAGACTATCAAAACTTCTACCAATTTCTCTGTTTCTGAATAATGTCAACTTATATATGAACCTGAGAATCAAACATGCCTTGAGGGGGGGAAATAATGGTTACAGAATAGCCTCTCCTCTGCTCAAAATCTTCTCTATCAGGATATTTTCCCCTCGAAACCTAGTTGCTGCAAAGACCATCCATTATTTTTAAATTTATTTTTAAGCATATATTTTTCCTCTAACTTTGCAAGGTTTTTCTCAGAGGTATCATTGGCCTACCACACTCTACTCCACCAAAGCTGGAAGCTGACACCCCTTTCTCGGGAATGGGAACTAACTAAAACCAAATGGAAAACAAATAAGCAAGAAAAAATGAAATCAGTTAGCAATAGGTTCTAAAACTACAAGGATACGAAATGGAGAAATTTGAGACAAGGTTAATAGTAACACTCTAAGTCAAAGTTAAAAAAAAGAATAAGACATTAAAATAATACAATGATATAAGGACTTCAACAGCACAGTTTCCATTAATCTGGTTCTCCCTACTGAACAATGAGTCTAATTTAAAAAGACAACATGAGAGACTGAATTGAAGAAAATCAAGCAGATATTTTTAAAATGTGGAAATTATCAATATCTTCAATATATTTCAGACTGTGAATCTCTTAGATATCTTATATAACATTATGTTTGAGCAGGAAATATTTTTATCACAGAACTGTGAAAACCTGAACACACAGATAATGGTAAGAAATTTAAAAACAGTTGAAAATCTAAAATTCTTAATATATAGAATACACTAAAGTCATACAGGATAAATAGAAAAGATTGATTATTAGTGGTCCAACATATATTATGCCAGCTGGCCAAAGAGCAGCTAAATCAGTAGCAGTCAAATGAAAATATATCAGCTGTTGAATTTGTGGCCCTGCAACACTTTAGACACAGGCATGTAGGCCTTTACTATTTTTTATACCTTTCAATCCCACTAGCAATCATTGATTACCCTTGAGAAATGTTTTATTGTTATGGTCAGATCTCAAGAGCATTCTTTTGAATTCAAAAAATTAGATTTGCCACTAAGGGGTCTTTGTCATTACCATAGATTCTACCAATCCACTTAGTATGAAAAAAGCCCACTCTGTATCATCTCCTGTGAAATAAAAAATAATGTTTCTCTGTAAAGTCACTTTTGACCTGAGGATGCTTCTATTACTTTACATTCATTTAATATATTAATATTATTTTGAGTTTTCATATTAATCTTATCTTTGCTACTCTGTGAAAGAGAAATTTAAAATACCTTTTGTGAATGACTAACAATACAGAATTCAAGAATAAAATATCTCATAAAGCAAAGAAAAATGAGGAAATGAAAATCTATAATATTCATTTTCATTTGTGTTACACTGAGGAAAAAACAGCTAAAGGCAATTAATGAATTCTCTTTAGAGCGATTTTGGAGATGGCATATTGACCCAGTATCCATTTTTCTTATTGCAAGATAATATAGTACTATTGTCAGGGTTCCTACAAAAGCATAAACTATTTTATTCTACATCTATGAATAGATCTTGAAGAGAAGTGGTGGATTTTTTAAATGAGAATAAGAGAAAATAAAGAGCAAAGCAAAATACCATAGACAAGTGTTGCAGAATAAATAGTTTGAAGGCATCAAGAAAGTGGCATTCAATCTGGCTGAAAAGCCCATGAGAGTATTTCAGGCATGGAAAGCCAAGACACTCTGGCAAAAAAAAAAAAAAAAAAAAAAAAAAAAAAAAAAAAAAAAAAAAAAAAAAAAAAAAAAACACACACACACCTAAATGAAAGATCTCTGTGAGTGAGATCCCAGTGGAAAGAACAGGTCTTCAAAGAAGGCGGTACCTTTCTCTGAAGGGAGGAGAGAACCTCCACTTTGACTATGACCTTGTCTAAACAAGATAAGAGTCGGAGAACTCAAGGGGCTTCCATAGCCTTGGAAACTCATGACTGGTGCATAGGGAGACTACTGATGCCATAAACAGGAGTGTCAATTTGTAAAGTCAACAACAGGAGTCACTGTGCACTTACTCCTCATGTAGGATCTCTGTCCTTAATGTGCTGTACATTGAGACTTAATGCTATAACGAGTACTCAAACAGTATATTTCACTTTTTGTTTCTATGTGGGTGCAAACTGTTGAAATCTTTACTTAATGTATATTAAACTGATCTTCTGTTAAAAAAAAAAAAAAAGAAGAAATTATCAACTCCCAACTTGACTCTCACTGGGATTAAACATGACAATAGGTCTGATCTGATCTCATCATCATTTAAAAAATCATCTATTATTTTTTACTTTATGTTTCTGTGTGGGAGCAAACTGTTGAAATCTTTACTTAATGTATGCTAAACTGATCTTCTGTATATAAAGAGAATTGAAAATGAATCCTCATGTGAATAGAAGGGGAGAGGGAGTGGGAAAGGGGAGGGTTGTGGGTGGGAGGGACGTTATGGGGGGGAAGCCATTGTAATCCATAAGCCGTACTTTGGAAATTTATATCCATTAAATAAAAGTTAAAAAAAAAAGTGGCCTAGTTTGTCTATTGTGCCAGGTACAAGACAACAAAGTTGCAAGTACTGTGAGAACCTAGAAAGTACATGTTATATTCATACCAAATTCATTGTGTATAAAGTAGTGGGTAAAACAAAATATAGTGAGAGCTAGATCTGACATGGGTGCTGCCATTTTCAACCTCCAATTTAGAAACTAGCAATCTAAGCAGTAAGAAGCAAGCTTGAGAAGGTAGAATAGAATAAGAATAGGAAGTAGCAGCTATGAATTGCTTTTTGTGAATCAGGACTCTTCAAAATGCTTAACAGATATTATATTGACTTAA